TAGATTGCAGTGGCATATATTGAAGATATTTCAATTAGCTCTCTGTACTTTTCTTTAGACAGACTGGGTTACCATGTCAGCTCCAGCTGCCTTCTTATGTACTGCTTTTTATGACACCACAGCCACTCTGTTTAATGCCATCAATAGTAAAGCAACTCAAAAGATAACCAAAGCAGTTTTCAATGTACTTTCACTTATTTGAATCATATCAACTCTGTCAGCATCCCAAAATATCAATAAGTTGGTAGGTTCTTCCAGATTTCTCCCAGAATGACCATCAATCATCATCTTTGTTTCAGAAATCCATGTTAATACAAAAGCTATGCTGTGAGTGAAGACTGACTATGCAAAGACATGAGGCACATATGAAAGCATGTTCTGTCTGTGCACACAACTTTGTGTCTCCCCACCCCTAAATGTTTATATATCACTTCTTACTCAATTGCAAATGATTTTCCCAGTCTTATTCAGAGGAACAACTAAAAAGACAGTCTCCTGGTTAATTAGTACACTGTCACTGTCACTGTCCTCCCATTGTTCATCGATTTACTTGAGTGTACAAATAAATCCAAAATGTTTTCAGTTTATATATGCTTGAAACAATATTTTTAATGTTGGAGATACACTCCATCATCTCTGACAAATGATGAATAACAAAGGAGAATCTGGTGTCCTGAACAGAAGGACGTATGAATAACTTTCTCATCTAAGAGTATCACTTAATCACTTAATCAGTTAATCCCCATTATTCATCGATTTACTGGAGCGGGTGCCAGTAACGTCTCCATTCATCCCGGTTGCGTGCTAGTGTAGCCCAATGGCATCTGTTCGTTCTAGGAACATGCAGAGCCTCAAACCGATCATTCAGGGTCTTGACAAAGAAGTCTGACCATCTTGTAGGTGGGCGTCCAACCGATCTTTTGATGTCCCGTGGAATCCAATCAGTAATGGCTCTAGTCCAGCGGTTGTCTTTAAACCTCATTACGTGTCCAGCGCATCTGATTTTTGATGCCTTGGCAAATGAGACAGCGTCCCTGATTCTTGAGCGTTGATGAAGATCAGAACTCCGGATTCTATTTCTCATTTCAGTGAATCGTGATATTCCAAGCATAGCTCTTTCCATTCCTCTTTGAGAGACCTGAATAGTGTTCTCATCCTGTTTTTGTGGGGCCCAGGTCTCTGAGGCATATGTTAATGCAGGAAGAACAGTGGAAAAGAAGAGATGTGCTCGTAGCTGGAGGTTCTTTGTCCTCTTAGTTATTTCTTCAATGCTCTTGAAGGCATTCCAAGCTGCTCTCTTCCTCCTGCGCAACTCAGGTGCCAGGTCATTCATCATGTTGATTTCTCGACCTAGGTATATATAACTGTTGCATGCAGAGATGGTGGTTCCGTTGAGAGCAAATGGAGCATCAGGAACAAGGCTGTTTCTCATAAACATTGTCTTCATAAGATTCAGCTGTAGTCTGACCTTGGAGGTGCTGTAGTTGCCGACCATCTATCTTCACTCCCATGCTTTCCCATTCCAGTCATCGCATGATGTTCTCGAGGGTGGCACTGAAGAGTTTTGGTGAAATGATATCACCCTGCCGAGCCCCTCTCTTGACATGGATGATTACTTCTTTGTAGAATGGTGAGATCCTGGTAGTGAATCTGTAATAGAGCTCACGAAGGATCCTGATGTATTGAGTTTGTACGCACTGATTGGCTAGGGCTTCTATGACTGCTTCTGTCTCAACAAAATCAAAGGCCTTCTTTAAATCAATGAACGTTAGACAGAGTGGCATCTTGAACTCCTGAGAAACCTCAATGAGCTTAGCAACGTGTGGATATGGTCGATGGTACTGAATCCTTTTCGGAATCCGGCTTGTTCACATGGTTGTTCTTCATCTAGTGTTCTGCTAATCCTATTCAGGATGACTCGAGTGAACAGTTTGTAGATGACAGACACTAGGCAGATTGGGTGATAGTTGCCAATGTCGTGGATGTCTCCCTTCTTGTATAGTAGTACAGTCCTGCTGGTTTTCTATTGGGATGGAAACTTGCATGCAGACAGGTAGCGTGTGAAGAGCCGAGCCAGTGTATTGATGAGTACTGATGGTAAGTTCTTCAGGTGTTCAGGTCTGATCTTGTCTGGGCCAGGTGCTCTTTGTTTCTTTACCGACGAGATGGCATGTTGGGTTTCGGAAGGGAGAACATTGGGAACGACATATCCATCATGTGTAATGTGGTATGTGGGCAAATGGACGTGGCTATTAAAGAGATCTGAGTAGAAGTTATGAATAATCTTCTCCATTGCCCTTCTGGAAGATGTGATAGATCCATCATGGTGTCGGAGGGCAATCATCTTGGTCTTGTAGTTGGTGAAGGACAGGCGGGCATTACGAATACTTTTCCCAGCTTCTTCCACATCTACCAGCACTGCTGCTCTCCTATTTTTGAGGTCATCCTTGATGGCTTCGCCGCATTGTTTTGCCAGCTCGGACGTTCACTTGTGGTTGCCTGAGGCATGTGCCAAGCCACGTTGGCGAATACGTTCAAGAGTGTTCGAAGAAAGGCATTTTTTTTTGTGGTTATCTCTCTCTTGGCATTCCTCACACAATCATGGAGGTGCTGTATCATTCAATCGTATTCCTCATCAATGTTGTCAATGATGGCATCTTCCCATGTTGCCGCAACAGAGCCAAAGAGCTCCCAGTTGGTGGTCATTCTGGGAGTCCTCTTCTTAAACTTTGTATTCTTTTCTCCTCATTCTGTGAGGTAGAATTTTGCACGAAGGAGACGGTGGTCTGATCCCATTTGGACTTTTGGGACAACAGCAACATCGGTTAGGCAAAACTGCCGATTGAATATGATGTGGTCTATTTCATTGTGGAACCGTCCACTGGGAGACTCCCATGTCCAATGTTTAGATTCAGCCTTCTGCAACTGTGAGTTACCATGGAAGGGTTTGGTTGACATGATGAACTCAGACAGTCTGTCACCCTGTTCGTTCCATTCTAGGCCATGGGTCCCGATGTGGAGTTCATCGGCTTATCTTCTTGGTCCTATCTTGGCATTAAAATCACCGACAATGATCTTGTAGAAGGTGTGATCTTCTTTATAGAATTTCTCCAGCTCCATGTAGAACTTCGCAATTTCTCTTTCACCATAACTGGATGTTGGTGTATAGACAACAAAGATAGAAACTGCCGGTAGTGAGCCACATCTATTCAAGTGTAGTCGTCCGATTCGCGTTGTTAGGCATTTGAATGAATCAATGCTCATGGCTAAGTTTGTGTTGACAAGGATACCGACACCACTGACGCCTCTTTTATCACATGTTCCAAGGAACAGGTCTTCCCCAGTGTCGAAAACGGCATGATGTGATTGATGTCTTCTCGTTTCGGTCAGATCAATGATGTCATACTTGATCTTTCGTGCTTGTACCATCAGGTTCTCAATAGATGCATCAGATGCCAGCATACAAGTATTAGAAGTACAGACAATCAGTTTTGTCTTTCTTCGTTTTGGTAGCCTATTTCTGCCTTGGGATTTTATCAGCCTCTCCTTCCACATCCTTCTCGACTTTGCCGTATTCAGGGTCAGGGGAATGAGATCCATTTTTTTTTTTAACTGGATTTGGCATATCAATTTGGTCTATTTGGCATGGACCACGGATAGCTTGCCAGGCTCTGCTGTGTGGGTGGGATATTTTAGGTGCCCTGAAAACTTAGAGAAATGTAAATAAAAAGTCGCGCGGCTAAGAATGCGGCCGCGAGCTCCCGGGAGCTTGGTGTGATAATCTCTGGATCCTGGCCGCTATTGGGGTTACACGGCAGTTGGTGCGTGTAACTGTCTAGCTACTGACAGGTCCAGTCCCAAACTGTACTGGACCAGTTAGTTGTAGTCCCGTACAACTAAGAGCATATTGTATGAAAAAACACGGGCTCATTTATGACGACTAAATAAACAAGGAAGCCTAAATATTCCACGTGGAGCATCAAGATTTGCCTGAATTCATGTCGAAGCCACAAAAGGGGTGATGTGTCATGCTTCTAAGGAGAAATCTAATGAACTGACAGCAGGGAGCAGCAGGTATCTTACAATCACAAAGCCCTGTATTTCTATAGACCTAAAGTGTCTAGAGATAAGCATAAATGGGAGCAGCCACTTGGGAGTGCCCTGATGGTCTCTGCTGAAGTTTCAAAAGCTAAGATATTCAGCTGCATGGATACCAACACAGGCAACTTGAAGAGATACTCTGTGAAGTCTACAAAGCCAAGCAACTCCTCCCAATATAGTGTTTCTATGTCTTCTTCAAATAGAAGTAAACCAACTGCAGGGCTTTGCGGCAGCCCATTCTCAAGCACTTAAAATGTGAATAGGAATCTCAAACAGAGACATACAGGATACAAAGGATATGAGTACACATCTTTCAACAGGAGATTTTGTTATAATTTAGTTTGCTTTGCTTTAAGAACTTAAAACTAAACACCATTCAGAGATAAATTCTAAATAGAATTGGACTGGTGAAGCATACATACATGACATAAGTAGTCACCAATATGGCAAAATATCTATATTATTCTACAAGTTTGGGGATAACATGCTTCACATAACACAGAACAATCCTAGAGCTTAAGTTCTCTGCTCAAAAGAACTAAGAAAAGTGGATAAGGAGAAGGAAGAAGTGCTGATTTCTGAAGACTCCTTCTCAAAATTCCTCCATATACTTCCTTCCTGGGAAATCACAGACTCTGAAGTTAGCTACTTTGGGACCTAACAACTCCAGGTCTGAGAAAAGAAGGCTGGAATCTAAAAAAAAGACAAGGAATACTGAATCTTCTCATCAGTGGACACCAGAGGGGGAAGTGTGCCATGCCCTCAGAGCAAGCTCTGTAATGAGATGCAGCCCCAGGCCTTGGGGCCCTCTCTAGTGCATGTCACTGAGCTGAAACAACTCAGAAACTCTGCCATGGTCACACTGCTGACTGACCCTGAGGAACTCATTTGCATGACAGCCCCACCTCTACAGGGGAAGCAGGTATAAGGAGAGCTTGGAGGCTGCTCCTGAGCTGAGGATGTCTGACACATCACAGGATTGGGTTGTCTACACCATGGCCTGGGTTCCTCTCCTGCTCACATTTCTGACTCACTGCACAGGTCAGAGGGACTCTGGGTTGGTGGGAGAAATTGGCAACAGATGCTCTGCTTCTTTATATCATCTCATCCTAAGCCCTTGGTGTCACATCTGTTTTCAGGGGTCACCTCTCAGAATGTGGTGATTCAAGAATCGTTACTGTCCACAAATCCTGGGGGTACAGTTACACTCACCTGTGGCTCCAGTGCTGGGGCTGTCACCACCAATAATTATGCTAGTTGGATTCAACAGAAGCCCTACCAGAAGCCCAGGGGTCTAATAGTTGATACCAGTAATAAGAATCCAGAAGTTCCCGCCCGATTCTCTGGCTCCCTGCTTGGAAACAAGGCAGTCCTCACCATCACTGGAGCCAAAGAAGAGGACGAAGCTGAGTGTTTCTGTGTTCTGTGGTTCAGCAATCATTTCCACAGTGGCAGATGGAAGTGGGGAAGTGAGACATAAACCCGAGTTAAGCTTCATTTTTTGCTTCTGAATATGGCAAGTCCTCTAATGGTAACTTAGGTCAAGATCTTCTCTATTTTGTTGATAAAAAATAGCAGCAACTCTTCCTGAAAATTTTCAAATAAACCAAGTTTTTCCAGGGCTTGATGAACTCCTTCACTTTTATACTGCTGTCCTAGAACTACCTTGACATAAAGTTAGGATTTACTCTCTTTTGAGTTTTTTTTTTGTACACAAGCTAAACACAGGAAATTTTCCAGGCATGAAGTAATGCTATTACGGTAAAGTCAATTACATTTTCTCAGAAGAAGCATTATAATGACAATTCTCACTAGGGGTAAGGCAGGAAATAATAATTTATGTATTTATAACATCTATTTTCATTTTATACAATATAAGTATATGTGCTGGAGCGATAGCACAGCAGTAGGGCGTTTGCCTTGCACGCAGCCAACATGGCCGACCCGAGTTCGATTCCTCCGCCCCTCTCGGAGAGCCCGGCAAGCTACCGAGAGTATCTCGCCCGCACGGCAGAGCCTGGCAAGCTCCCCGTGACGTATTCGATATGCCAAACACAGTAACAACAAAGTCTCCAATGGAGACGTTACTGGGCCCGCTCGAGCAAATCGACGAACAACGGGAGGGCCTTTAAATAAGTATATGTGTATATAAATTCATATGCATAAAATATAACATAATTCATATATGCACTGTCACTCTCCTCCCGTTGTTCATTGATTTGCTCGAGCGGACTCAGTAACATTGTGAGACTTGTTACTATGTTTGGTACATAGAATACATCACGGGTAGCTTGCCAGGCTTTGCCGTGAAGGTGAGATACTCTCAGTAGCTTGCTGGGCTCTCAGAGATGGGCAGAGGAATTGAAACCGGCTCGCAGCCAGGCTGGGGTGCAAGGCAAATGCCCTACCGCTATGCTATTGCTCCAGCGCCATGCAATATTTGGAAATTAATTCAAATCATATCCTGTAGTCACTAATTTCCAGAAAAGTATTGAAAAATTCTTATGATATGAAGGAACCTCTGTTCTGAGAAATATTTAAAACTTGTTAACATGAGGAAGTATCCAGGGAACATCAATGCTTTTGATAATTTGGTTTTGGGCCATGGATAGTGTTGTATTTGGGGGGGCGGGGGGGATGTGTGGCCACACCTTACATGACCATGCCTAGTGATATTCCTGGATCTGCATTCAGGAATTAATCCTGACAGGTACAGGGAACCATATGGGATCCCAGAAATAGAACCAGGCTCAGGTGCATTTAAGGTAAGGGCCTTACCACTGTACTGTCAGGCCCATGACACTTTTGAAGTGAACAAGATCTTGCAGCGAATTCAGACTGTATGAGTCCCACAAAATCTAAATCTCTCTGGTCTCAACTAGAAATGTCAACAGGTGCTTCCTCCTAAGGGACTAACCCAAATCTCAGCATTCCCAGGCTTCCCCCTCCCAGCTGAGCTAGTCCTTAATTGAAGACACAATTGAGGGTGGTCATGTATGCTAATGGGCTCAGGTTTTCAGCAGGCACACCCATCAGTAACACTTCCCTCAAGGCCAAAGGAACATAAAAGAGGCCCCAGAGGTCAAATGTCAACTAAAGGGTCAGTGTGTCCTTGAAAGTCATACTATGAGTGGATTCCTCTCTTCTTTCTCCTTGTCCTCCTCTTCCTTACTCACTGGCTAGGTTTGTGGAGATTTCAGTGACCAGCCTTTGGAGGATTTCTCTGACTTCAATCTTCATTCCTGCCATGCTTCTCTTTCCATTTCAGGATCCAGTTCTCAGGCTGTGGTGAATCTGCCTTCACTGACTGTGAACCCAGAAGAGACAGACATTCTCACAGGTGGTCTCAGCATGGAGTAGTCACTGAGGGTCAGTATCCATCCTGGTTTCAACAGAAGACTGGTCAAGCAACCAAGACACCAATTTCTGACACATTCAAAACACTGCTGACTCTGATCTGATTCTCTCTCTCTCTCCTTGAGAACTAATCTGCCCTCACGCTCTCTGGGGCCCAGACAGAAAAGTGAAGCAGGATCAGGGAAAGTTTGTCTCTGTGTTCTTTACATGCTTCCAAATTTTTCAATATTTGTAGGAATTAAAATATTGTTAAAAATGATGCTCAAAGTAGAAAATAGAAATAGTATAGAAGCTTACTATAGAATCTTAGTGTAGAAGCAAGTTAGATATGGCTCGTGTGTGTGTGTGAGTGTCAGTGTGTGTGTGTTTGTGTGTGTGTGTCTGTGTGTGTCTATGTGTGTGTGGTGGGAGGGAGGGGGTTATAGAAAAAGTGGGTCTTTGTGCTACCTGCCAATTGACAGGCTTTTCTTGAGTATTTAGGGATCTTACACTGTGAGCTGGCTGATTTAGGTCTTTTGCATTATCTACTTTACCATTTAAGATAGATATAGCCCATTTTCTCTTAGTGCCTAATGAGCCTAAGCTCTGCGGTGGAAGGTCGAACTTTTGTCATGGGAAATTTCAAATTTCTCTTCCTCAAAAAGGCAAACCCAAGATGTGAGAGGATGCTTAAAGTGTTGAATGGAGACAGCTAAAACTGAACTTTTTAAAACACAGCTGCTAATGAGAAACTGAGGCTCATTCTTTCATTTCCCCCCTCACAAAGAAAAACCTTCTGACTGCAATCAGGAAATCATGATCACGATCAAGATCATCCTGTTGTTCATCGATTGCCTCAAACAGGCAACAGTAACGTCTCCTTCTTCCTAGCCCTGAGATTTTAAAAGATCCATATTCAATGCTCTTTCAGGGTTAGGAGAATGAGACCCATCATTGTTACTGGTATTTGGCATATTGAGTATGACATGGGAAGTTTGCCAGACTCTGCCGTACGGGCAGGATACTTTTGGTAGCCTGTCAGGTCCTCCAAAGGAAAAGTGAGATAATAAGATGTTGCTCAGCCCCAAATGTGGCTGCGAGCTTCCAGGAGCTGGGTTTTATAGTCTCTGCGTCTTGGCCATTGATGGGACCAACCTGGCGCTGGCGGCAGCTGGTGGATGTGTTGCCTATTTACTGGAAAGTGGGTGATCTGGGTGGAGAAGGCCCAGTCCCAATCCGAGCAGGCTTGGACATCTCAGCCCCGGGACCCCCATGCCTGGGTTCCTCTGCCAGTTCCTTCATGCATGAGGCTTTGTCCGGACGTGTGGAGAGTGGTCTCAGCATGACTGTGGCTGGTTTTGGGGGTCTTCGGCTGCTGGGGCTCTGTTCAGGGGCCAGGGGGAGGGAAACTCAACTCGCCTCCCTCCAAGGGGCCCGAGTGAGGACAGCCAGGTAAGGGGGCAGGAGACTGTGCCAGTCAGTCAGAAAATGGAGCATCAAATTGCTGAAGGTACTTCCTGCTTAGGGGCAACAATATGAGGTCCAATGCACTTAAGGTGTCTTAGGAAGAAGAATGTGGAGAGGTCTGCAATATCATGCCACAGAACCTTGCATCTGTGGTTGCACACTAGTCACCTTCTGTATTCTAATGGCCTCAAGCATAGAGGAAACAAATTAAAACATGAAGGTTATAAGGCCAGGTCCTGTTGTAGTCAGAAGCCCAACATGAATTCAAGAAAGTCAGGACCTAAGAGAACCAAGATTAAGTATTTTCTATGGGAATCATTCCTGAGAAGAATGTTTTAAGTATTGGGGGGTATTTTGGTGTATTGACAATTTGCCTATATTTTTCTAGATTTGTTCACAAAGAAGACAAATACATTTATAAGCCTATCAAAGCAATGATGGGCTGAAGTGACCTTACCTTTAGGTGATTCGTAAAATATTTCAAGGTCAAAAGCTGATTATTCCAATATAATGGACAGCTTTAGAATTTTTTAAATTTGTGGTATTGGAATGTAGCTATACAAACAGGGGAGAGAATGCTGAGATGACTATCTTCAAATGGAATGTCCACTCCGGGTGGTGCCAACAAATATAACTTAAAATATTGTGAATAAGAGATACGTTTTGCAAGGTATACAAGAGGTATACACCAAAGTTTTTTTTTTTTTAATTTTTATTAGTGAGACACCATGAGGTACAGTTGTAGACTTACACATTTTTGTGCTTGGGTTTCAATTATACAATGATCAAATGCCCATCCCTCCACCAGTGCCCATTTCCCACCATCACGGATCCCAATATCCCTCTCACCCCCCATCCCCCCATCCCACCCTGCCTCTGTGACAGGGCATTCCCTTTTGTTCTCTCTCTCCTATTGGGTGTTGTGCTTTGCAAACGAGTCAATGAGTGACAATCATGTTTGGTCTATAGTCTACTTTCAGCATGCTTCTCCCATCCTGGGAGGATCCTCCCAATACCCTTTATTTGGTGCTCCCTTCTCTACCTGAGCTCCCTTTTCCCCTAACATGTGTGGCTGGCCTCCAATGCACCAAAGTTTTTAATGAGGGTAAATAATGGAGGAAATATGGATAAAGAAAACCTTATTTAATGCTAGTCTTCCATTAAATACCTCAGACTTAGTAGTTGAGGTTATGTAACCTCTCCAATTCCAGGGGTTATATAGCAGCATCCTCAAGCACTTTAGGTGGGTCTGGGATGCTCAGCCAGAGGACAAACAGGATGCCAAGGACTTCAAGTTCCCTTTGATCAACAACAGACTTTGTTTTGTTTTCATTTAAGAACTGAGAACTAAATAGCACTCAGCTGTAAAAGCACGGGTAGAGGTGAAGCATTACACGTGACATCATTAATTACCCATACAGACCCTAAGGAACACATTATTCCATGAGTTTCTCAGAAACTTGCATCAATTAACAGAAAAGAATCCTAGACCTCAGAGCCTCTGCTCAACAGAGTTGTCTAAGGAAAGTGGAGGAGGATAAAGAAATCTGCTGATGTGTGCAGATTCCTCTTTCACAAAACTCATTCATCCAGTTCCTGCCTAGGGAATCACAGACACTGAATTTAGATGATTGGAGACTTAAAACCTTCCAGTCTGAGGAAAGAAATTAAAAACTAGAAAAACACTGTCACTGTCCTCCCGTTGTTCATTGATTTGCTCGAGTGGGCCCAGTAACGTCTCAATTTTTTTTTTTTGAGACTTGTTGTTACTGTGTTTGCCATATTGAACACATCACAGGCAGCTTGCCAGGCTCTGCAGTGCGGACGAGATATTCTCGGTAGCTTGCCGGGCTCTCCAAGAGTGGCGGAAGAATCGTACCCGGCTCGGCCAGGCTGGCTGCGCGAAAGGGAAAAGGCTTTACCACTGTACTATCGCTACAGAAAACTAGAAAAAAAGACAAGCAATAGTGAATCTTCTCATCAGTGGTCACTAGAGGGAGCACTGTGCCATATTCTGAGAGCAGGATCTGCGATGAGATGCAGCCCCAGACCCTAGAGCCCTCTAGTACATGTCACTGACTTGGAACAACTCAGAAACTCTGCCATGGTCACACTGCTGACAGACCCTAAGGAACTCATTTGCATGACAGCCCCGCCTTCACAGGGGAAGCAGGTATAAGGAGAGCTTGGAGGCTGCTCCTGAGCTGAGGGGGTCTGACAAATCACAGCACTGGGTTGTCTACACCATGGCCTGGGTTCCTCTTCTGCTCACAATTCTGGTTCACTGCACAGGTCAGGAGGACTCTCTGGGTTGGTGGGGGATACTGGCAAAGGATGCTCTGCTGCACGTTTATATCATTGTCTCATCCTCTGTCCTTGGTCTCCTGTCTGTTTTCACGGGTCACTCCTCAGAATGTGGTGATTCAAGAATCGTCACTAGTCACAACTGCTGGAGGCACAGGTACACTCACATGTGGCTCCAGTACCGGGGGGTTAGTGACTTCCAATCACCTTGCTTGCTGGATTCAACAGAATCCCTACCAGAAACCCAGGGGTCTAATAGCTGGAACCAGTAATAGGCATCCAGATGTCCCTGCCAGATTCTCTGGTTCCCTGCTTGGAAACAAGGCAGTCCTCACCATCACTGGAGCCAAGGAAGAGGACGAAGCTGAGTATTTCTGTGCTCTGTGGCTCAGCAACCATTTCCACAGTGACAGATGGAAGTGGGGAAGTGAGACATGAACCCTGAACTAAGCTTCATCTTTTGCTGCTGAGTACAGCAGGTCCTCTCATGAAGTCACCTTGTTCAAAGCTTTTTCTATATTGTTGATGAAAAATAACAACTCTTCCTGCAAACTTTCAAATAAACAAAGTTATTCCAGGTCTTGATCAATTCCTTCACTTAAATATTGGTGTCTGAGACTTGACTTCTCATTCAGGATTTACTCTATTCCTTATCTTTGGTATTCAAGGAATTTTCCAGGCATGCACAGGTAATGTTATTGGGGTAAAGTCAATTATATTTCCTCCATACATAGCATCGCCAACAATGTTCATTCTCACTAAGAGTAAGGAATAAAACAATATTTTATGTATTGATAACATCAATTGAAAACCTTTTTATACAGTGTATGTGTTGCTCTAAATTAATATACATTAAATATAACATAATCAGATGGAATGTTTGAAAATTAATTCTAATTATATTATGTCATCATTAAAGTTCAGAAAATCATTGAAAAATACTTATGAAATGAAGAATCATTTGCTCTGAAAACTTACAAAGAACATTGTAAATTGAGGAAGTTATTATGGAACACTGATACTTTAGATTTTGGGGGTTTGGGTTTTGTATTTTTCTCTTTGGATTTTGGGCTGTCACACCCAGCAATGCTTAGGGATTACTGCTGACTGTGCACTAATGAATTACTCCTTATGTTCTGAAAGATGACACTCAGGCTGGGCTGGCTGCGCAAGGCAAAAACCCTACCGCTGTGCTATCCCTCCAGCCCAATTCTGTATCTTACTTGAAAAATTATTTTTAATCTAGTCTATGAGATTTTTATAGATTTTATTTTCATTTCACTTTTTTTTCAAATACAATTAGCAGGGTCACTGTGGAAGTACCCATGCTGTTCCTTATCTGTTCAGTGAGATCAGTAAACTTGATGCCTGGGCCTCATGGCTGCTCCCTGTGAGCTCACTGATAAGAACTCTGCACTGCAGCTTCTCTGGCCTATAAGAGTTGCCTGACCATGGACTTTAGTCTCCAAGGGTGCTTCCTGCTGGGCTCTCCCAAGAGGGAAAGCAAATCTTCCTGCTGACTCTGGGCTGAGATTTGGGTTCCAGATGCAGGGCTCAGGAGGGTGTGGGTAATTAAGGAATGGAAACTTGTTTCCATCGATAGTCTCTACTTTGACATAGGGTGAAGAAGAAAAGGGGACTTGGGTAGAAATTCTCAAAGGTGGGGTCAGGTTTTCATGTGTACCAGGGCCTGGGCTCCTCTCCTACTCGTGTTCCTCTCTCATTGCACAGGTAGGGTCAGACCTGAAGAGACAACCCTAACACACCCGAAAACCTTGCTTAGAAGACTGATGATTCAGACCCTGATTCATTCTCAGAATTATGAGTGTCTTTGTTTGCAGGTTCCCTCTCCTAGTCTGTGCTGATTCAGCCACAGTCAAGATCTCAGGATCTCCTGGGACAGCAGCCAGACTTACCTGCATCCTGAGCAGTGGCTACTGTGTTGGAAACTATAGGGTTAGCTGGCAGCAGCAGAAGCCTGGAAGTCCTCCATGGTATCTCCTGAACTACTACAGTGACTCACACAATGGCTAAACCCTGAGGTCCCTACTCGTTTTCCTGAATCCAAAGATGCCTTCTTCAATGCAGGGATTCTGCTCATCTCTGGGCTGCAGGCTGAGGATGAGGCTGACTGTTACTCCATGGCTTGGTGCAGCTGGAATTCTCATAGAGATACACACACAGGAAGAGAAGTGGTTGAAAATCTCAAATGATTCAAGAGACATATTTCTGACTCTTATCCTATGTTTACATGTTCTGAATATGTACCAATTTGATTTGCAAGTCACTTTCAGATTATAGTTTCCCTATTCCCACATATTTGAACTCTGAATCAAAATAAATACAATGTCCTGTATGTACTGATTGATCTTCAGGAGTCTGATTTTACCACTTAGAAACCTGACGTTCTGTATATATTTTTTAAATTTTTTTTATTAGTGAAACACCATGAGGTACAGTTGTAGATTTACAATTTTTTGTGCTTGGGTTTGATTATACAATGATCAGATACCCATCCCTCCACCAGTGCCCATTTTCCACCACCATAGATAATATCCCCCCCACCCCCATCCCCCCATCCCCCTTGCCTCTGTGGCAGGGCAATCCCCTGTGTTCTCTCTCTCCTTTTGGGTGTTGTGGTCTGCAAAAGAGGCATTGAGTGGCAAACATGTTCAGTCCATAGTCTACTTTCGACATGCATCTCCCCTCCTGGGAGGATCCTCCAAACACCCTTTATTTGGTGTTCCCTTGTCTATCTGAGCTGCCCTTTCTTCTAGAATGCCCGACTGGCCACTAAGCTATGGAGTAATCCTCCTGGTGCTGATCTCAGCTATTCTTGGGTATTAATCTCATATTTTGTTACTTTATATCCCCCAGATGAATGCAATCTTTCTATGTCTATCCCTCTCTCTCTGACTCATTTCGCTTAGCATGATACTTTCCATGTTGTACCACTTGTATGTAAATTTCATGACTTCATCTTTTCTAACAGCTACATAGTACTCCATTGTGTAGATGTACCAAAGTTTCTTTAACCAGTCATCTGTTCTTGGGCATTCAGATTTCTTCCAGTTTCTGGCTATTGTAAAGAGTGCTGCGATGTTCTGTATATATTAATGTTCTGAGTATATTGCTATCATAGAGCTGACTTATTGTCTGGCCTTTATTATTTTGTCCACCTGATTGAAAAAGATAAATAAGTACAAATTCCTTGTTCTTCCCTGATCTGTTTCTTCTCCTCGATGACTTGACTGTTATATCTTACGCCACTTCTTCCTCTGACAATTTCCTAAAAGGAACTTTCACACTTCTTTCCATCTGCCCTTGGTTTTTGTATTTTCTGGGTTTGTGAACAGAACTGATCAAGTCCAAATTCCTTCTTTTTGTCCAAAATAAAGCCTGACTGGCTCGTTGGAAGTGGCTTTGAGATACTTGTCAGTTTTCAGGTTCAGAATCTCAGTGGGTCTAACATAGTCAACTGCAGGTATGGTTTCCTTGGAGACACACTGTCAGGAGTGAGATAATAAACAATGTGATAGCCTACTCAATCAGGTCTTTAAGATAGTGTGTCTCTTTGGAAAGATGGGCTGTGTGTCCTTCCTCACACACGTATGCTCTTCTGCTAACATTGTTTGTATTCTCTTGGACTATGAAGCTTGGGCACTTCTCTTTTGTATCTTCGGATTCAGGGATCAACCTTTGCTGACCCAAGCATTCTCACTGTCAGAATCTGCAAAAGGAAGAATCTCCTTAGGCAAAACACACCAGTGGTAACTGTAACTGGGTCCTATTAATATGGCTTGTCTGGGAAGCAGAGTAAAGAGTTGCTTGCTGGGGTAAATTTGATCAAAGAAATTTCAGGACAAGGATTTCTTCCCTGTGTGAAACTCAGCTATAAGAAAAGATGAGATTGTGCAATTAACTTCTACATGGATGGATCCCGAGACAACATGCTAAATGAAGTAATCAGAAGAAGGACAGACACAAATGATCTCTCTCCTGTGCAGATACAAAGAAACACAGTAGAAGAATTTCAAATGGCCAAAGGTACAGAAACTGATAACTGATCTTCAGTAGGAATCTAACCACAGGGTGTTTGGGAGAAGGGAGTACACTGGGATGGTGGTGGAGGGAAGTGGACCCAAAAACTTGAATATTTTATTTATTTTAAAATTATTATGTTTTTGGTTTGGCAGCCTCACCTGGAAATGATAAGACCTTACCCTTGGCTTTGTGCTCAAAGATCACTTCTGATGGGGCTCAGGGGATCATATGGTGCCAGGTCTCAACTAAGTTGTCCACATGCAAGAAGGGTGCCCTACTATTTGCATTTCTCAATCAATGGAATATTTTATAAAGATTTAAAAATAACACTTCTGCAACCATGGTGAAAAAATTAATTTTTTATTTTACTTTAATGTTTTTAAATTGTCACGATCACGATCACGATCACGACCACCCTGTTGTTCGTCGATTGCCTCGAGCAGGTGCCAGTAACGTCTTCTTCGTCCTAGCCCTGAGATTTTTTTTTTTAAAGTGCCATATTCAAGGCTTTTTCAGGGTTAGGAGAATGAGACCCATCATTGTTACTGGTATTTGGCATATTGGGTATACCACGGGGAGTTTGCCAGACTCTGCCGTGTGGGCATGTTACATTTGGTAGCCTGCCAGTTTGACCGAATTAGGAATGAGATGATAAGATGTCGTTTTTTGTTTTAAATTGTATTTTCATAAATTTTTTCACAATAATTGATTACATTCAATATTTCAAGACCAATTCCACCACTATTACACATTCCCAGCCACCATTGTTTTGAATTTTCCCACCACCACTCAAGCGTCCCCCACAGGCAGATGCTAGATAATTTATCTTGTATTTCTTTGTTATGATAGTATGACATGGCTATAAGGGTCTGTCTCATAGTGATTCAATAAAAAAGTTAAAAACAATAGTATGAGATAATGCATGGCTGGCAAAGGTGTCAAGCACTCCTGAGGTAAACTGGTTTAAATTACTCAGTTAAATTACTCCTACTGGTTTAAATTACTTAAATGTATTACTGGTTTAAATTACCAGTAATATCATGTCTGGTTCTAGAATCTCCACATAATTCAAATAAGGTTAAACATTTCTTTTTATATGACAATGTTTTCCATAAAGTTCTAACATACCATATCAATAATAACATGCACTTCATAGCCTGGGTGCAGTGGACACATAATTTTTCAGATTATGGACACATAATCTGGAAAAAAACTGATTGCTGTCATTTCCCACATTTTCACCCAATCATTCATATTCAGAAGCCACTAGAGCCAAAGGGACAGAGTTTGGCCATTTAAATGTTAAAATGCCTCACTTATTTCTTCAGTAAGCAGTCCTGAGGCTGGTCTCGAATTCCAGCAGGATAGTCTGATATCTTTTGAACATTGATAGG